AGAGAGAGAGAGAAAATGGTAAATGTTTAAATTGTTTTGGATCAGAGTTGAACAGAACTAAATTAAGAGTAAGTGTGTGAGAGCGTAACTGAGAGATCATCAAGAAAAATGACTGACGCAAAGGGAGACAAAGAGAAAACGTGCTTGGCAATCACCGCTATCGTACTATTTTGTGCATTAGTGTTTTGGATAAAAGTCGATTTCTATTGATTATAAGAATTTTTCCTTGTATTCAAAGTGAGACACATGTACAATATGAAACCAGTAAGGAAAGTAGTAAAGTCGGACGGAGTCGACTATATGATACCCTTCACCACTATGGGTATATGAAACTGGAATATTACCATGATATTGGATGAAATAAAATATGTGATATTTATCTACATGTGAAACGGACTAGATCTATCCATAAACATGTCATTTGTTTGTTACAATGGAACAAAAGTATGTAAATCGACTTGAAACAAATATCAATAGGCCATCCGTTGGGCTATGTCTGTACTTGTAGAAAACGTAACTACGTTATTCTAGGCCACTGTTCACCAAACAGGCGCCCGTGGGCGCTTTGGGAGAGTACCAATACAAACACAGTTCTGTGTTCGAACTCAACATTATTCTCGACATCGAACATGTCGTATGCTTTGCAATGCTTTAACATAGACGATCTGTACCGAGAGAGCGAAAATTACTCTCCCAACGGATCTATGCCTGTGTCCAACACAATCATAGCAGTTTCCATATGTATTGTTGGCTAACCCTGTTCTAGGCTCAATTTTAAATCGGACGGAAATATATGGCTGCTATATTCAAATATGAACCGATTTCAACAAAACTTGTCATGGGAGCCGATTTTCACGAAACTTGGCAGACATCACTCTAGGCTCAATTCAGTATGTCATGCCAATTTTGGTGCAAATCGAAAGATATATAGGGACTTTGGTGCACCATTTACAGGAAATCGGACGAAACTATATATGGGAGCTATATCTTAATCTGGCCTGATTTTCACGAAACTTTTCCGACATCATTCTAGGCTCAATTCAGTACGTTATGCCAAATTTCGTACAAATCGAAAGATATATAAGGACTTTGGTTCACCATTAACATGAAATTGGACGAAACTATATATGGGAGCTATAACTAAATCAGAAACTTGGCAGACATCATTTTAGGCTCAATTCAGTACGTTATACCAAATTGCGTGCAAATCGAAAGATATATAAGGACATTGGTGCAACATATACATTAAATCGGACGAAAATATATATGGTAGCTATATAATTGCATGGTAGCTATATAATTTCATCCAATTCGGATAATAAATGCGACCTGTACTTTGTTTACAATTTAACATGGACAGACGGACATGCATACATCGACTTAAAAAATGATTCCATGCATATTCTCAAAAGAAACCATGTGTCTATCCATATGTCTATGCACATAGACATAATACCCTGTACCACAGTGTGGTGAAGGGTATAAAAATTAACTATAGGTGAAATTGTAAAAAATTAAAACTTGAACCAAAAATGATCATCTAAAAAATCAAATTAGATCCGATTTGGTTAAAAACATGCCCAAACCCTCAAAATTCCAGAAAATAAGGCGTGCATGGGTATATGACCTAAGAAAGCCATATTCGGGTTTGATAATTTCTTAAAATCTATACGACGTGCATTGTTTGGATTAATTTTTAAATTATTTTCAAAATATTTACTAGTCTTGTATCGTTCATGAACGACTTGGTTCAATTGAAGGAGTCAGTCCACTGAATGAGTGAGTTTTTATTATTGTCGTCGACTGAACGATTTTTTACCAAACTGAGTCCGTCTCTGAACGTCTTTGCTCCATGTTGTTCACAGGTGCACTGACGTTGACCAACTGAACGGCGTCAGATATGAACAATTTCATAAAAAATCTGTTAAACTGAATGAAGGTACGTGTAAATATGGTTGTCCAATTTCACGAAAAGCAGTGCTTAAAACATCAAATGCTGCAGTAGTGTTTTACGTATAGCTGGAGGGTCAGTAAATAATATGAAGCTACATTTCAAAGTAAAGCACCCCCATAGACAACCGAGGAGCTGGAAACCACGGAAAAGAGGCAAAGGTGTCCCGAACAAACGCAAACATATGTGCTGCCGAATATAACGGAGTTATGCATCAACCACCGCCAGTTAAGAAACCAGTGGAGAAAATAGATTAGAAAGCCCTTCGAACGATTTGTTGAACTGCCAGAGCTTAATTGGAGTACGCTGCCATGCCAATTGAATTGAGTAAACATTTGAACGATATAAGCTACTGAACGAGGTGAACGACCTAGTTCACTTTTAAAAAATGATCTAGTTCGTTCGATCACAGAACTGAACGAGATTGCCCAAAACTATTATTTACCTATTCTGAGCGATGTGTAATAAACAAAGTTTGGATTAAAAAAAAAGAAATGCGAGAGAATTGCATTCTTGTGTGAGCCGATATGATGTAAATATATTTTGGAACAATATTACGATATTCCGGCTATCAATAAACTTGATATGATACAGGCAAATTTTAAACATTGACCGATATCATCGGATTATAAAATATTAGCTTGTGTAAAGTTTAAATAAAGAATTGTAAAATTTTGACAATTTTGTGGTGGATGTATATTCCCTATATTTGAACTTTATTTCCTATATTCGAACTTTATTGTGCAAAGTTTGGATCAAATCCGTTAAACCGCTCAATATTTGTGAATCTGATGCGGTAATCATCACAGCTTTAATGTGTAATGTATTTTGGATAATTGTCGAATCCCTATCTAGGTTTTAGTAACCAACATATTAAAAAGCATGTTAAAAAGATGGTATGTTCGGCCCGGACGAACTTTTTATAGCCTCCATCATTTAACATAAGTAAAATGAATGGGGGCTCCTAGGAAAAAACGGATGTTGTGATAGGACCTTGAATATACTGAAACAGACTTGAGAAAAAGATGATTATTTAATAGTGGGGCTAGCGTTTCATGGGACTACCAAAACGGGGACCAATACTGATAATATGATTGAAACCCGTGTCCAAAATTCCCAAAATACCGACTTGGGTCAATATGATGAGATGTGGGGTGCCATTATATGGGAGCTACCCTCCAACAATAATAATAATTTTTGGTACAAGGATGTGTATACAATCAGTACCCAAAATACCAAATTACCACCAATTTGATTGATAAACATGACCAAAATCCCCAAAATATCGAATATTGGGGGGTACCGTTATATGGGGGCTACTCTGAAACATTGCTCAATATTAAAAATTTTTAGTACGATCTATACAGGATTACGGCACTTGCATTACAGACCAAATTAAAAGTAAACTGCAAATGTTCTTTGAATTTAGTTGAATATTAATGATTTTATATGACAAACCAGTCGGACGGGGCCCACCATATGATACCCTACACAACTTCGACGAAAATCTAACTTTCTTTGGTTCTATATTCTGAGCATGGACACTATTTCGCGATATTTGCACCCTCCCTTCATCGTGGGTTGTGTTGTGATATTCGGCTTTAAATTGTGGACTATAGACCGACTCGAAAAACACAAAAAATTAAGTTTTCGGTCCACTTCATACCAAAATTATTATCTCATCATCGCCGAAAATTATAGGCGTTGTCCTTGACCATAACTGGAACCTCATGGAACCTATCAAAGCAATCAGCTCAATATTTCTATTACTAAATAATATCTGAATACGTATGCACCTGAAAATATGTACGTGCAACTCCGCCATCCGAGTACATACGATAATATATTTGGTCTCAATTTAAAGGCCAACCTCTTCTCTTGGATATATTATCAACTTCTCGGGTCTATGTCCTTCAGGAGTAAATATATACGCTATATAATACAAATTTTGTAATTTTTCACACAAAAGTCAGAATCCATTTGACACGCTAAATATTGACCGATCTTTATCAAAACAGGCATGCTTATTCTTTGGCCCGATCCCCTTCTCCATGTAAAATTTCGAGATGTTCGGGCTATAATTGCGGCCTCTGGAGCGACCAGAAAAACCGACAAACATTTAGTACTTGGTCCATTTAATGCCCTAAATATTAAGCGATCTCCAGCAAAAACAATAGGGGTCTTCATTGGCCAGAACCCAACCTACATGCAAAATTTCGTGAAGATTGGCCCAAATCATTATAATGGAAAGACGGACACACATGTCTAGATCGACTCAGCTAGTCGAGATATGACGATCGGCATACATAAAGGTTGGTCTAGGACCAATATTTCGCGGCGTTACAAACTTTTGGCGCTGCACAAAGCTATAATACCCTAACAACATAGTTGTGTAGGGTATAAAAAGTGATATCTTGATCCAATCTATCCAAATTGTTGTCACTTGCTTTTTAGGCCAATAACAAACACTTGTACACAATTTCATCTAGCTACGATAACTTCTTCTATTTTTGGCCGCTGTTAATATGAACTCGTGGGAACAAAATTTATGAATAAATAAATAATTTTGAAACAAAAAATCAAATAACAGTTATTTTTGAGATTTTCTTAAATTTTGGATGTAAATGTGTAACATTTATTTTCCAATAATTCTTAAAACGTACATTTCCCCATGTCGACAGATTAAATGAAATGCCGTAATTTAAATCTTGAAAACACCTCATATCAATGTTGCTTCTTACTCAATTTTAATAAAGAATTACTGCTTTCATATTTTCCCCTTGAATCCCAACATATTATTTCACGAAATCAAATAAATAATCATATTCCCATTCCACAAACTTCGTTTCAACCATTATTCCAAAAGAGAAATATACGGCAGACCATACACATTTACACCTATGGACATTATTAAAAGGATAATACCCTTAATTAAAGTTTTTTCGGATCGATTTCATTCGTTTCATCTTTACAGATTTCCATGTCCTTATCTTTGGTCAGGCGATAAATTAAAGAAATTATCTTCTTTGGGATTATTTTATTTACTCACCTGGTATCTATCGAAGGCTATCGCAGTTATTGATATTGTCGACACAAATATACTCAGCGCCTGGAGCATGGCAATCATTTTACACAGAATTGCACAGGAACCGAATGGCCAATATTTTGATAAAATTTCCATTAACGTTAAAGGCATCGTAACCAAGCACAGCAATAAATCTAACAGGGAGAAAGAAAAACAAATATAAACATGACAAAATTAGATGTATGATATTTATTAAACCTCGTGTAAAAAACACCCCCCTTTCTGCCAATTTCTATTTGATCGACTTGGGAGTTAATACAGATAAATTGTGATTTATTTAAGTTCATTGAAATGAAATTCTTCATCCATCATGTGGCACAGTGGTATGAGGGAATGGGAGGGGAATTAAAATTAAAATAATGTTGACAACTTGGATTTTTTAAATAATATTCTTGAGAGCTACCATCAAATCGTGCATTTTTTAAAACACATATTTTCAGAGGTATTTTTAGGTACATTTTTAATTATTTTTTTATTAAAAAAGTGTGGATTTTATATAACATATTTGTCAATGTACCAATACAAAGCAGAGCTTTAAAAAAGTTGACGTTTATCAAGAAAATCTGAATTTAAAAATATATCTATATATATTTCAATATTTCTTTTAAGATTAAAAATATTTAATTGGGATTTTAAAAAATGTAAATGTGTGTGTGGCCTAGCATTGTCCTGGAGGAACACGACACCTCTCCTGTTGGCCAATTATTGCCATTTCTGGTCCATTGCTGTCTTCAAACGGTCCAGTTGTTGACAGTAGAGACCAGAATTTAGCGTGTGGCCATAGGAATAATAATAAATAATCCCCATCCAGTCCCACCAAATGCATAGCAGAACCTTGCTGGCCGTTAGTCCAGGTTTGGTCACAGTTTGAGGTGCTTCACCGCTCTTTGAGCACGATCGTTTTCGCACAGAGTTATCGTATGTGATCCATTTCTCATCTCCAGTCACTATACGTTTAAGAAATTGGTCTATCTCATTCCGTTTGGCCGCAAATGGATCCATCCTATTTTTTCTGTTAATTGGTGTGACACCCAAACCTCGAAGTTCTTTTTGAATCCAGCTTTGTGTAAATGGTTTAAACAGTTTTATGTTTTAGCTTCTGGGCGATGTTACGACTGCTAACATGCCGGTCAATATCGATAATTTCTCAATTTCTCTACGAAAAATAATGTATTTTCTTGTTTCTCCAAACTAATATTTAGGGGATGAAATGGTCCCAAAACTTTATTTTTGTATGATTTTCTGGTCGCTCTAGAGGCCACAAATAAGACCCGAACATCACGAAATTTTGCACAGAAAAAAAATTTGTCCTTAGAATTAACATGACTGTTTTGATAAAGATCTGTCAATATTTAGTGGCTCAATTAGACCCAGAGTCTTTGTGAAAAATTGCAAAAAATTGTTTATAGGGCGTATATATTTACTTCTGAAAGATATAGACCAGAGAAGTATATAGTATAGGCAAGATGAGTGGCTGATACCATTTATACAGTTGTATGCACTCGGGCGTGGGAGTTATAGGTAAATATTTAAAGGTGTCTATGTGTTATGATATTGTATTACCCCACTAGATGGCGGAAATGTCGCGCTGATCGCATTAAAAATTTACATGAAGTTCCGGTTATGGTCAAGCACGACCCCTATAATTTTAAGTAATGTTGGGTTGATATTTAGGGGGTGTAATGAAACGAAAACTTTATTTAGGGGGTGTAATGAAACGAAAACTTTATTTCTAGTCGCCCGTTTTATTATACCCCCATTAAACTTTAGCCCCATATTAGGTTATCATATTTTTTCAAGTCTTTTTCGGTATATTCAAGGTCCTATCATAATATGAGTTTCTAATAGGAGGCCCCATTCATGTTACATATTTTGAATGCCATGGTGGGTGTTATAACGAAGTTTTCACTTGTTTGGTAATAAATTCGAATATGCCAATACAGTGTGGATTTACTTTTAATGTGTATACAGATGGTATCCTATTTAGAGGAGTATAATTAAACCAACTAAATCTCTCTTTTATTCTTATTATTTTATTTCGTACCCAGCCTTCAAAAACACACAAAACTTATTTCCGCACCAATCTAAGGATTCTACGTTCCTCCATTTCCTCATAAATTAATTCAACTTCAAACCAAATAAAAAAACACACAAAAAAGTACACTTATTTTTTACTTCGCTAATGCCAGAAAAAATGGATTTGTTACGTTTCTAATTAGCGCATAGTTTGAAAACTTAACAATTTTTCTTACTCTGATATGCATAGCTAATGGTGACTAAGATTATATTTCCATTTCCTCGTAATGTGACAGTGAAAATTATTGTCAGAATATATTCGATGATGTGATGGTTGCTTCAGCGATTTGCAGCAGCTTAGCCGTCAATGAAACCAATAATGAATGATGTGCCATTATTCTATACGACAACCAACCGAATTAGCTATGATGGAAGCATCACATTTCAGTAGTGAAATTAAAAAAAGAACTAGATTTCTCATTAGTCAGGATAGATTTCTCATTAGTTGTGCAATTAAGAAACATTTCTCAACACATGCTGAAGTAATCAATAATTATGATATTTTAGATTAAAAAAACGTCCGATTTATATACTTAGAATTTGAAGACTTGAATGGGATGGAAATTCAAAGCCACAAATCTATCTGGTCCAAAAGGGTCAGATAAGGCTGGATTTTTGGAAATTCGTACTAGAACGGCTGGAAAAATACTAAAAAGTACTAAATGTGGTACCATTTGTATTTGGTGGTGGCCAGAGCTAGTGGAGCTAGAAGTCTGAAATTTGGATTGAGGATAATTGATGGAGTGTAGGATAGATGTACCAAAGGGTTCTTAGAAATTCGAACTATAACTATCCGAAAAGTACGAAAATGTCATAAATTTGGTACAGTTCCGTAGTATGTGAACCGATAACGCCAAAAACTTGAAATGTGAAGTAGGGTCGATATGAGGAGATGGTTTTGAAAACGTGTACTCATGTATACGAAATGTACTATATGGTACTATAATTGGTACGATTTGAATTTGGAGGTACAAATGGAGCTGGAATTTTGAAATTAATTTTACCGCCGGAGTGTAGGATTGAAATATGTACGTTGTTTTAGAAATTTCTTACTTATGTGTACGAAAAGTACTAAATTGTACTATAATTACATTTAGGATTTGGGTGAACCAATGGATCTGGGATCCTCAAGTTTGGAGTTAGGATCATTATGGGGGTGTAGGATTCGAGTATGTATGAACTAAGATTTCCGTTGGATTGCATGACCGACGAAATATGTCAAGCTGACAATATGTCAGATCATAGATCTGGATCGATTAAAAAACTTTAAATACAGTAGTTTACACGTAAGTCCCAGGACAAACTTCGTTTTTAACAAAAATTTAAAGAAATATTACGATGTGTTTATTTTTTATCCCACCTGACATTCCACACGATTCTTATTGGATTAACAAATTTTCAAAATTTTGATCGTTCGTACAACGACAGAGTTTGGGTCAAATCGAACATTCAATTCTATTAATATTGGATTTATAAAAATTTTAAATTTTGACACTTTGTGTGAAAGGTAGCCAATGGAATGGACCGATGGACTTGATATAGGATTGCTGTTATAAAAAAAATCAGGAAAATGTTGACAATTTTCTGTTTGAGGTACCAGAAAGAGCGACATTCAACATCTTTGAACTTGATTAAAGTTTGGAAGAAATAATACACTGAGCAAAGATTGGATAAAATCGGTTACTCCCTTCAAGAGCAATTTAAAAGTTTAACGTAGTGGCATTGGAAGAAGTGGACCGATATTGTCAGCCTTTGACCCTGATTTCTAATGAAAAAGTAAAAAGATTCAGATGGACCTCATTGTACCTTTCACTATTGAAAAAAATATTTAATAATAATCAACTACACATGTGGCATAGGTCATTATATTTTTGAAAGGACAATTTTCTTCAGGGAGTTAATACTGATTCCTTTGAAAAAAAAACAAATCGAAATAGGTCAAGTTTTTAAGTTTTAACATGATGAATTTCTTGCTAGTAACTTTAGAGTTCGTGAACTAGAAGCTTTTTATCTTTGTTTGCGACTTTTACAGATTATTTTTGAGATGACATATTTTAGTTAAATTGAATGAGAGATATTTTTGTAAACCATATACTCCTTCTATCTCGAGTCCTTGTGCGTCTATATATTCTTCAACCGTAACCTTATTGATATACGTGAGAAAAAGATGATTACCAAATAGGGCACCATCGTTTAATGGGGCTATTTATAATATCGGGCATCGATATTGATAATTTTAGGTCATAAAATAATTTTTAGTACAGATATGTGAGGGTACCGTTATATAGTGGCTACCTTAAAACGGGGTTCAATATTAATATTTTTAATCCAAGGATGTGTTATACCATAACCCAAAATACAAAATTACAGCCAATTTAATTGAAAAACGTGTCAAAAATCCCCAAAATACCCAAAATCGGGGTGTACCGTTATATGGGGGCTACCCTGAAACTTGATAAGAACCTAAAATACTAAATTAAAGCCAATTCGTTTGAAAAACGTGTTCAAATCCCCACAATACCGAATATTAGGGGTACCGTTTGGTCATTATTAATAATTTTTAGTACCGACATGTGCTTACCATGAGTACCCAAAATACGAAATTATAGCCAATTCGGTTGGAAAATGTGTTCAAAATCCCAAAAATACCTAGTATTTGAAGTACCGTTATATGGGGGCTACCCTGAAACTTGGGTAATAATTTTTTGTACGGATATGTCTTATTCAATGAGAACCCAAAATACCAAATTACAACCAATTCAGTTGCAGAGCTTGTACAAAGTCCCCAAAATACCGAATATTGGGGTTACCGTTATGTGGGGGATATACCAAAACGTGGACCGATATACCCTTATTTCCAATAATCCTAGGAATACTAGCAATGTCTGTGCAAAATTTCAGAGCTCAAACAGGAATATTCCGATCTATATCTAATTGAAACTATCTATCGTAATTGGATATTTGAAGGTGTTGCCAACGGAATGACAAATATAGAGGGTATAAAAATGAACTTAAACGACTTTGAAATTAAACGACTCATATGGGGTTACACTGAAACGCCGATCAATATTAATAATTTGTTGTAGAAAGATTTGGCAATGAAACTCAAAATATCAAATTATATCTCATTCGCTAGAAAAACCTTCCCAAAATTCCGAAAGTTTTTAAGGTACTCTACTCGAATATTCGAATTTTTTGTGAGGATGGCTGTTTTTCTAACCAATGATAATCTACAATATAAAATAGCAACCAATTTGGGTGAAAATGTGCCCATTCTGTCTATGTTACTGAAACCTTGAGATACCGTTATAGGGGAGCTATCCACAAAATATGAACCGATATTGTTTGGTGAGGATTATTTACAGCATAATAATATCCCAAAGCACCTAAATACATCCCATTCGACTTAAAGACAATCCCATAATACTTAAAATTGGGCCCTATCACACATGTCAATGTCAAACATCCTGGGAGTAGTAACAATGTATGTACAAACGTTCAAAGCACTATTTAGAATATTGTGACCTCTTGCGTTATTTCAAGAGACGGGCAGACATACGGACATGACTAAATTTATTCATATATCCGGTTCTAAAATGTACAGAACCGAAGTTGTATCCATCGTCCAATGTTTGGCAGTTACGATAGTTCCCCATAATTTACAATTTATTTATACAAAAATTTAATAGTCATTGATATAAGAATTTACACAGATATACGGATTTCTGAGCAAAGATCGCCAGTTCAAACCAGTAGTAAATGTATGTCTGTTTTCTTAAAAAAAATTAACCTCTTTCTGATAGTCTTCCACATTTACATAATGGTATGGAAATACAACATACTATAAATTGCCCCTTTAAAATGTTTAAAATCATCCGAATTTAATTAAAACCACTGTTCAAATATTTCGAATATTATTTTGTAAACACATTACAGTACAATTCAAGCATACGAGTACATGTTCGCTTACCTGACACAGCTAAATTCAATATGAATAAATTTCGTGCTGTTCGCATCATTGGTTTTCGTATCACAGCTACTACAACTAAAATATTCCCCATTGCTCCGAAAATGATTAGAACACAGTAGAGCATGATGAGCACATGGTACCATAGGCCATCTATGCTGCGATTACGAGTAAATCGTTCCAATAACACCGGATCTATTGTTAGTGTGTCGTTGTTGGTGTTGCTGCTGCCGCCTGCGCCACTCAATGACGCATTTAATTGATGTAGGTTATTTTGTCCATCATCAGTCATCTCCAGGTAATCCATGGATATATCTTTACTTTCGCTACTGTCACCCGTGCCCATTGAACTCAGCATATCCATGGAATTTGTTTGCAGGGAAAAACTGCCGAGGCCTAAGACTGTGTGATTCATATTGATGATCTGCAAAAAACGAAGGAGAAGGAGAACAAGAGAAGATGCAAATGAAGCGGTCATGGGAGGAAAAAATGAAACGGAAATGAAATGAATCAATTTAAGTGTGTCTGTCTGTGTGCGTTTGTGCGTGTGTACGTGTTGTGGACGCTGATGAAGTTTTGTTTAGACTAGAACGGAAATAAATATTTACATTACCCTACGACGATGACGACTACTACTGCCATGACAACCTTACGAGTGCTATCAATCAGTCATTTTGCAAATGTATTACAACAAAACTGTGTGTGCCCTTTTCGTGTGTGCTTCGGTCTATGTGTAAGTGTAACATATGTACTATATTTTTGTATATACCCAGCAAATTCTTGTTATTTAGTCAAGAGCTATTTTCCGTTATCTAAATCCTTGCGATTTGTTTTGCTACCATTGACATCAAGCCCCCTTTCGTGTTTTGTAGTGAAGAGAACACATGTAAATACCGCCTACATTTCAAAAAACATTCCATTCTTTGTGTCGGTATTTGTTGTATTTTTGCCGAAGGTAATAATTTAATACACTATTGCTACAGCTAGCACGCATATGTTATAATTCGAATAATTTCCATGGATTTGTTCCATTGATGTTCGTTGTCCCCGATATGAATCACAATCAAATGTTTTAATTGGTAGTCATATAAACATGGTTATCATTTGATATCGAGGAAAATCTTTTCATAGAAGTGATTGATACTTTCCAAAAATGAGAAATAGGTTCAGCTATGGCTTGGCCGAACAGTTTGCACAGTTTCACTGGGAATAAAAATGATATCATAGATATTAATCCTCTAACTATACTTCAATATCCCGCGGTGGAAACTTAAATCCTTTATCGTGTCATTTTCAATGAAGGGTAAACAATTAATACCACACTTTATTGGACTAAAAAGTATGAAAAACTTTTAAAATTAATTTAGTGAAAATGTCGTGTTAACGACGTGAATAGTCAACTGGTGGAAACAGTGTTACCGCTGAGAAATTAAAAAAAAAAAGTTGCACAAAAAGTCGTTCCCCTGAAAAAAGTAGCATAGAAAAGTACATTTTTCAATAAAACTGTTCCGAGAATATGTCAGATGTCATTGGAACTCCAAAACGATGTAGACGAATCCAAATTAATTTCCATTTTCCAGGAAAATGCACCATAACAAAAACAGGAAAGAACAAGTAAGGAAAGTAGTAGTCGGACGGGGCCGACTATATGATACCCTTCACCACTTTAGGTATATTCAACAGATGAATCCTAACAGACGTCGCATTTTTAAAGGACCAGTAAAATGAAATTTGAACGATAAATATGTCATTCTGCAACCGATACTAAATTTTGGTAAGAAATAGAAGTTATATCTAAATCTGAACCTATTTTCACGAAACTTAACACACATCATTCTAGAACAAATTCATTACGCTATGCCAAATTTCGCGCAAATCGAAAGATATTAAGGGTCATTGGTGCACATTAAATCGGACAAAAATATATATGGGAGCTATATCTAAATCTGAACCGATTTTCACAAAACTTAACACACATCATTCTCGACCTAATTCATTACGCTGGGCCAAATATCGTGCAAATCGAAAGGTATTAACGGACTTTGGTGCACCATTTACATTAAATCGGACGAAGATATATATGGGAGCTATATCTAAATCTGAACCGATTTTCAGGAAACTTAACACACATCATTGTAGACTCAATTAAGTACGCTATGCCAAATTTCGTGCATATCGAAAGATATTTAGGGACCTTGGCGCATTATTTACTTTAAATCGGACGAAAATATATATGGGAGCTATATCTAAATCAGAACCGATTTTCACGAATTAACCCTTTGTGCTCGAACTATTTTCCTTATAAATTAGTATTACTTATTATACTTTCCACTATTAAACTGACATTTACAACCCCAAAAAATAACAGAATAAGATTCGATTTTGCGATGTTGAAACGACGGTATAGATCGCAATATTGTTAGGACCAAACCACCTTAAAATAAAATCCTACGATCCTAAAATAAACTTCTACGATATCTCATCGTAGAAGTTTCAGACCACCTGTTGGCATACCCTTCGTATCAACGTGTCGCCCCATTTCCAGTGTTTTGTACTCTATGCCAAATTTCGTGCAAATCGCAAGATATATAGGCACTTTCGTGCTTCATTTACATTAAATCGGGCGAAATATATATGGGAACTATAACTAAATCTCAACAGATTTTCACCAATTTCAATAAGCTTCGTCCCTGGGCCAAATAAATGAGCTGTACCAAAATTCATCCAAATCTGATTATAAATACGACCTGTAATTTCTTTACAATTTAACATCAAAAGACGGATCGACTCAGAAAGGGATTCTATGCATATTCTCAATAGAAACAATGGGTCTATCTCGATTCCTTCCTTTTAATGTTTTTTCTTGATTTGCGACTAAGCTACTCATTTCACAGCCTTCGTACCAAAGTAGAAGTAGAAGCCTACAAAATGAGGATTACGTTCCTTATGTATTTTTTTCGAAAATTTATCCGCATCTACCTTTAAATGATGCTGGCAAATTGAAGCTCGATTTTGAGCGTTTTTGCGAAAACAGAGCTTTAAAAATTTTAGCCACTAAATTAGCAACTAAATCTATGGTTCCAGATAGACCGCATTGAAAGAGGTATAGATCGATGTATTTTGAAGGGGGTACACCGAAATAGGATGCACGGATGAGGCATATTTGGATGTTGCCAAGGGCTAAAGAATTTGCAACCACCAACTTGATAATCGATATGGGTTCACTTTTTAGAATAGCCCCATAACTTTAATCCTGGTATTTTGGTGAGTTTGGGCACGTTTTTTTCATCTTACCAAAAATCAATATCTTACCAAAAATCAACATACTATACTGGTACTTTTATAAGATTAAATATACACCTCCTGATGGTGGGTATAAAAGTTCAGATCGACCAAACATAGCGACATTTTTATTTGTTCTACTTTTAGTATCACTTGGTTATTGAAAGCAAGTAATCTTATTATCGGCCGTTTCGGGCCACATTGAAGACTTCCATTCCTAATAGAAGTTTTCTCCATCAAACTGTCAACATTTGTATCTGATATCACGATTATAAATAACTACATACCATCGCCAGTTTAAATACATCTAAAAATAAACTTCAACCTTAAAGTATATATGAACAAACTTAACAAAACATAAATTAAATGCTAATTTTAATATATATAAAAATTCGGAGATAAATTTATGTGATTATCGCATATCACAATCAACCACATAAATTCCGTACAAATAAATACACACCTACTTCGTTTTGATATTTCGCATGTGTATTTGTATTTAATAAATGTACATATATTACACTTAAATTATATACATTGAAATGTGTGTCTGTGTGTGCGTAGTAAATCGAAATTACTTTCTCTTCCGATATGTACACATACACATAAAAAGACTTTCTATTTGTTCTTATTTATGGAACATTTCAAGGTTGCTGTGATACTTCTTTGTGGTATTCCCCTCTTCACTTCTTGCTGCCATGTTGACTGACAACATCCTGGTTTGTAGTCTATATTTTCTGTTTGATACAAAATGTATTTTTAATTTTAAAGCTGACTTGACACCGAGTGATCATAGTTAAATAGAGATAGCATCGAAATGATAATGGAAAATGTCTTCTTGAGCAAATAATAATAAATGTCGAATGTCATAAAGTTTGTTCCAATAAGAGTTGAGATGTGCATAATATAATTTTTCGTTGCTTTTTTCATTTGCAATGTAAGTAAGGACGTTGTATCGTTTTTGCTCTTGAAAATGTCAAACTCTGCTAACAGACGTAACAAGTTTTAATGAGATTTTGTTTGTCATGTAGATATGTATTATAGTTTCATGATATTTTAAATGTAATGCAAAATGAATGATCAACCAGTAAGGAAAGTAGTAAAGTCGGGCGGGGCCGACTATATGATACCCTTCACCACTTTGGGTAAATACAAGAGATGCTCATATGTACAATATCCTGAAGAAATGACGAAATTAAATGTGTGGACTACATAGATATTTGAACAAATTTAAAACAACCTATACACATACAATTCTGAAACATATGTTAATCGAACGGACTTGGGTTCTTTGGTGTACCATTTGTATGAAATCGTGCACAATTGTGTATGGGAGCTGTATGTACATCTGAACGTATATGAGCAACCACTTGGTATGCTGCAGCATAGAGTGTTGTTCACAATATATCTCGATCGGAGAAACGGCTATTATTTGGTGCAACATTGGCATATCATCAACATATGCACACATTAATCCAATATAGGTTCTTCTAGATTTAATTGGTATACATCGAAGGAAAATATATATGAGAGCTATATTTAAATCTGAACCGATTATCCCGAAACTTAAGACACACCATTCTAAACTCATTTCAGTACGCTATGCCAAAATTCGTGCAAATCGAAGGATTTGCATTTAATCGGACGAAACTATATATGGGAGCTATATCTAAATCTGAAGCGGTTTTTAGGAAACTTAACACACATCATTTTAGACTTAATTTGGTGCGGTATGCCAAATTTCGTGCAAATCGAAGGATATACAGGGACTTTGGTGCACCATTTATATTAAATCGGACCAAACTAGATATGTGAGCTAAATCTAAATCTGAACGCATTTTCAAAAAAATTAACACACCTCATTGTAGACCTAATTCAGTACACATTGCCAAATTTCGTGAATATCGAAAGATATATAGGGACCTTGGCACACCATTTTCATTAAATCGGACGAAAATATATATAGGAGCTATATCTAAATCTGAACCGATTTTCAGGAAACTTTACACACATCATCCTGGACTCAATTCAGTACACCATACCAAATTTCGTAAAAATAGAATTTTATATATGGACTTTGGCACCTTAT